CAAGTTCAGAACTGTGAATTAGAAGTCAGATTTGTAACACCAGCTCTAAAAGTAATTTACTTTTTGCAACTGTAGTCAAAGGCATAAACCTAAAACAAGATTATGTTTGATACAACTATGACAATACCTGGCTATTCATCTTTGACTTCAGAGTACATTATTAAAAATGTACCCTGATAGAAAGGAATGTCCATGGAGAAGATCAGTGGTGTTGATCTGACTTAGTCATGTATGTTTTCTGCTGTCTTGGGCATAACTTGATCAGTATTTTTCTTCCCTTCAGAAGCACTGTGACTACAATCCATCTGCGCACCGAATGAAATGCACAGTTCCCTCTGCAAATGTTAAACCACAGAATCACAGAATGGTTTGGGTTGGAAGGGACCTTAAAGATCATCTAGTTCCAACCGCCCTGCATGGGCAGGGACACCTCCCACTAGACAAGGTTGCTCAGAGCCCCATCTAACCTGGTCTTGAACACTTCCAGGGATGGGGCACCTACAGTTTCTCTGGGCAACCTGTGCCAGTGTCTCACCACACTCACACTAAAGAATTTCCTCCTAATGTCTAACATTCAAGTTTAAAGCCATTACCCCTCATCCTCTCACTCCATGCCCTTGTGAAAAGTCCTCTCCAGCTTTCCTGTGGGCCCTGTTCAGATACTGAGAGGCTGCTATAAGGTCTTCCTGGAGCCTTCTCTTCTCCAGCTAAACAACCCTAACTGTCTCAGCCTGTCTTCATAGGAGAGGTTCTCCAGCCCTTAGATTACTTCTTCCCAGAATAAACCCACTGAAACTGGGCAGATGTATGACTTGCACTTTAAGGTAATGGGTGTTATTAAGGAAATCTCTAGTATTTTCTGAATATTCCGAGGGACCTTGCTTATCCATGCAGGTCCCTTACAATCTCTACCCAATTTCTTACTCAAAGGAATGCACTTATCTTGAGCTTGAAGGAAGTGTTATTTAAAAATTGACCAACTTTCTTGGGTTCCCTTCCCTTCCATAGTCTTAGCCCACAGGATTCCTGCAAGTAGATCTTCGAAGATTACAAAGTTAGCCCTGTGGAAGTCCAGGGCTGTCATCCTACTTATTGCCCTGCTTCTTCCTTGTAAAATACTAAACTCCACCACCTCATGATCACTGTTGCCAAGGCTGTTCCCAAACTTAATGTCTCCAGCCAGCCATTCTTTATTCATTAATACAAGGTTCAGCACTGCACCTCTCCTTGTTGGTTTCTCCACCACCTGCAGCAGAAAGTTATCATCAATGCACTGCAAGAGCCTTTTGGACTGAACATGCTTTCCAACAAATATCAGGGTGACTGAAGTAATCCATGAGTACTAAGGAGTGTGATCAAGAGGCTACTTCCAGTTGAGTGTTGAAGGCCTCCTCAAAATCATGTTCTTGGGTCGGTGGTCTATAGTAGACACACACAATGGTTTCACCAACATTTGCATGTCTCTTAATTCTTACCCACAAGCTTTCAACCCGTTCTGTGCCTCCCACCCACCCCTGGATAGAACTCAATACATTCCAGTTGCTCTTGCACATGAAGAGCAACACCACCGCCTCGCCTAGTTGACAATACTGGGAATCATCATTTTAAAACACCAAATGCACAGTACTGGAGGCATGAAAAAGTCAACCACAGGAATGGAGAAAAAATCAAACACAAAGACCAAACAGTGCATAACATCTTGCACAAAATCTAGTATGAAAAGTAACCATAAAGAGAAAAAAAAAATTGAGTAATCAAATTATTTACAATGTCAAATGACACCACAGCACAAACCCCAAAATGAGTATCTCCAAAGTAAAATGTCCTGTAAAATAACTTAGAAAATTCAACTAAGTTCTATGTTCCAGGAGAAAGCTGGTATTTTTAAAGCACTTGTATTTACACTAAAACCAAATGAGACTTTTACTGTGAATTTAAAGGGGTACTGGATAAGAATCCTTACACAAAAAGGATCACAAATGTCATTGCTGATGATGAGAGAAAGAATTCCCAAACAATTCCATATACAAAATAATGAACATCATCCTGGCCTCTACAGTATCTTCATTTGAATGGCAAATTTATGAACTGCCTGGAAAAAGATTACTCTATTACTAAACTCTGCTTCAAAGCGACATCTCTATGACCACTTGGGAAAGGATTTAGATACAATGGTAATAGATTAGTTTGATAATCCAAAAAGTCCATTCCAGCCTTATAAACATTTTGTTCCAGAAAATCTAATTGTAAATAAAAGTGCTCTCTGAAACCACTGTGCAAAATCAGAGAATCTGACACAGAATGAACAGCTCCCCCACAACCATCACTGCATGTTTTTTAAACTAACCCTGGAGTTATGAAATACCGTATTTTTGTGAATAATTACTAAATTGCTGGGGCAATTCTTGTGGTGTACGGCTTAGCTATGCATTCTTGCTTTTCTCACTGATGAAAGACTGATGGGAGACTGTGATAGAAATTTTAAGTCCTCTTTTGAATCCCGAGTTGCAGCAGTTTAGGCTGACTCACAAGATGTACTTTTTATCTGTCAAAATAAAGACAGTTTGAATTTGACATCAAATATCCAACTTCTTATTTCCTACTGTTCCTCCACTTCCCTACAAGATTTTAAGTCTACATATCTTCATCATAAATGCATAGTAGGAATATTTAATTTTTTAAAAATGAATAAATTAGTAGAGCAGTAGACTTATGGTGGCAGTAGTTTTGCCACAGATTGATTTGGTTTTTACTGGACTCATTTGGTGCTTTCTAATTTTGAGAAACAACTGACTTGATCTTACTTTGTTTGTTAATTAAATGTACAATACTTCCAGAAAAATGCTTTTCAGTTACCAATCTTAAAATGTGATACTTCCTCCTTAGAATTAATAAATGCACTGGATAAAAACCAAGAACAACATTCGTTTTTATGACAAAAATGAAAGTAGTGGCTTGCCATTTAATCATACTTAAGTACCTGTATCCGTTTCACCTGTGTGCTACACTTTACCTCTCTCACCTTACTTCCTACCCCACTAGCAGAAAAATATAGTATTGTTATGCCTTCCTGATACTTATAGGCAAACAAGGATATAGCAATATTACAAGGTCAAACACACCTCTGGGCAACATAAAGATAATTCTGTGGACATAACGTGTATGTACCTTTGCTAATAGTTGCAGCAAGGGTATACAAATTTGACTCAGAAGAGTTGTTCAAAGGTATGAGTGTTTATATGTAAGCCCCCACAAGTTTCATAGCTATGAAACATATCTTTGAACATTTATGACAATCTTATTTTACTTCAGTTTTGAAGCAAGCTTTGGAATGGTGGTGGTTATGAAGTAATTATGAAATAATAAAGAGTCAAATTCCTGACTGAAATTTCCTTCATATCTTAGACATCCAGAGTCTTCAGATGTCACCTGTGGCAATATAAAAAACTTTTTTTCTAGTATATTTAATATAGAATGGAGAAACTTAAACTAAGATTGTTGTACGTAAGTTCAACTGTGGCCAATATAGTGCTACATAACCTTTAAAACTTGGGATTGTACTTGAAGTATGAATAAGGCATAACCACAATGCATTGCCCATCACTCATTTATTGCATGAAAATCTGTTGTCATCACAGTTTCAATCTGTTTGTTCTAGCTTGCACTGTCCTTTAATCGAAAGTGAAGAGATGCCAGAAAGTCTCAATCCCTGACAGAAAATGAGATCTAAGTGATGAAGGACAGATGAGTTACTACTGAAGTGCCCACAGGAACCTCCTGTCAGTTCAAAATGTTATGATCTAGCTGTACACAGTAAGAAGGCTGCATTAGATGGTCTAAATGATCTGCACCAGTAGTCCTATTGTCCATTTTATTTACTATATAAGCTGTTTTAACTGGAGAACTATTTTCACCTTCCCTACAGCTTATCCTCTGTAAATGACCAACTTCAGATACAAACAAGGTCAAACATCCTCACGGATAGTGTTTGCCCTGGATGTCTGTTTAAATGCCTATGCCAAATAAGACCCATACTGCTAAATGTAAAGTTCTGCATACACAGCATAATGGAAGAGAGCTCATAGAATTCTAAATCTTAACTAGTGGTAAAATGAAACTTCTGAAGTTAAATCCTATTTCCCATAATATTATTCAGCCCATAGAAGCAGGGAACAGAAGAATCCAAACACATTATTTCTACTTCCTTCTCAGGACAACATTACCAATTAGATTCAAGTTCAGTGATTTTTTTTAATTGAGAACACTGAAATAACTGAATTTTATCTCAGGCTGCTACTGCCATAGGAAAGAGGGTGTTTGATTTTTTTTTTGTTTTCAATTTTACAAAGTGTCTTAAAGACGAGAAGTGTGTTAATTTTTTTCTCCTCCTACTGAAAGCAAATAAAACTGTTTTTTACATTGCACTTTACTGTTTATACACAAGTATTAAACTGCAAGTATATAGCATTAAGAGAATATATGAAACCAAGTTTCTGAATGTTCCAACATTTCATAACAAGACCAGTGTCCTGGCTATAAATCATGCTTAATAGAATACCAATATATTTTCAGGCTCTCACATAATATGGTTTGAGAGGAAATGTTAATTACATTTTTGTGCATGCAAACTGCACAACAAAGTTCATTTTTGGAAATGAAGTAGCATCTGTTATTGATATTGAATGCTTTCACTGAACTGAACTCAGATCACAATTTGAATTTGATAGACTGCATTTATGCCCTATGTTCAAGTTACTGTAATAAGAAACACTGTCATTTCAACTTATGTATTAATTTCTCCTTTTTAGCTTGTGATGAACTTGGAATACTATAAATATACATGAAGAAATATAGTAAATTGTTTGAAAAAATGAGTGACAAATCTGAAGACACAATTCTTGATTCTGTTAATTTGTGCATTTCAAAACAGGTTTCAGGATTAATAAACTTCACCAATTTTCACTGCATGAAGTGAAACCCATTAGCCACTGGTAACTCACCCTTTTCTGCTCTTTAATATACTCCATCAGTTCCTCTCTTGTTCTTTTCACTGCTTCTTCAATTGCCTTTTCACTTCGTTTTTGCTCCTCCATTAATGCTTCTTTGACAATTTCCTTGTTAAAAGGAAAACATGTAAGTGTAAGTAATAAAGGTATTTCACAACTGTAATACAGGCCAACCCTTTCTTTCTACTAAAATTTTATCACAACCACACTCCTTTCTTGATTACAGTTTTCCTAAATGTATGTAGTATCTTAAAACAGTTATAAATTTAGTATTTGATCTCTAAAGGGCCTAAGGAAGAGCAAAATAAAAACTTTAAAGCTGTGTTAATATATACATAATGTTCCCTTACAGCAGAAGAAAAGGAAGCCATACAGGTTTTACTTTCCAATGGAAGTGGGGATATTAGTAGTTGCTATTAGTAGAATAGAACAGAACATTTCCAGTTGGAAGGGACCTACAACAATCATCTAGTCCAACTGCCTGAGCACTTCAGGGTTGACCAAAAGTTTAAGCAAATTATCAACGGCATTGTCCAAGTGCCTTTTAAACACTGACAGGCTTAGGGCATCAACCACCTCTCTCAGAAGCCTGTTCCAGTGTTTGACCACCTTCTTGGAAAAATAAATGTTTCCTAATGCCAAGTCTGAACCTCCCTGATGCAGTTCTGAACCATTTCCACACATCCTATAATTGGATCCCAGGAGAAGAGAGCAGCTTCTCCCACTTTCCTTTCTCAAGAAGCTGCAAAGAGCAATGAGGTCACTGCTCAGACTCTTTCTCCTTATGACATGGCTGCTCAGAGCTTACAAAAGGGCCAGAGTCCTAATGGCAATAAATGTCTTTTGAAACCTCAAGAAATGCATTCATAGTTAGCATGAACTGTAAGTTGCAATCAAAATGTCATATGATTACATTTCTTTTTCTTTTGAAAGAATTAAAATATATTATATTTGCATTCCTTAAAGCTATTCAGAAGTATTACTTCTTCAGAAAAAAAAATAAAAATAAAAAAATAAAAAAGGATTTTTGGGGTTTGTTTATTCTTACGGCAAGAAGCTCCACAGTCCTTCTGACATATGAAAATCGGATAAAAAAACCTGGCAATACTCAGACATTGCAGATAATGTTGTCATACTATTTTTTCTATCGGCCAAAACTGAGTTCCCCTGTTATTGCACTGCAGAGACAGCAGAACTAGGGATTCAGTGCATTCTGCAGCAACACCATGCAATGCTACAGGCTTGGAGAAGAGTGGCTGGAAAGCTTCCTGGTGAAAAAGGACCTAGCAATGGTGGTCAATAACCAGCTGAACATGAGCCAGCAGTGTGCTCAGGTGGCCAGGGAGGCCAACAGCATTCTGGCCTGCATCAGGAATAGGGAAGAAATCATTTCCCTGTAGTGAGCACTGGTGAGGCTGCACCTCAAATACTGTGCTCAGTTTTGGGGCCCTCACTACAAGGTAGGCATTGAAGTGCTGGAGTGCATCCAAAAAAGGGCAACAAAGCTGGTGAAGGCTCTAGAGAACAAGTCCTATCATGAGTGCCTGAGGGATAAAACTGTAAAACTAAACTTGGGATGTTTAGTCTAGAGAAAAGGAGGCTGAGAGAATTACGGCTCTCTACAACTATCTGAAAGGAGGTTGTAGCAAGGTGGCTTTCAGTCTTTTTTCCCAAGTAACAAGACACATGGAAAGGTCAAGTTGTGCCTTGGAGATTTATATTGGATATTAGGAAAAATTTCTTCACCAGAAGGGTTGTCAAGTATTGGATCAGGCTGCCCAGTGCATGAGTTATCATGCCTGGAGGAATTTAAAAGATGTGTAGACTTGGAGCTCAGGCACATGGTGCACCTGGTAGTGTAAGGTTTATGTCTGAACTCTTATGATCTCAAGGGTCTTTTCCAAACCAAATGCTTCTATAACTCTATGATTCATCCACCACATTCTAGTTAACCAAAAGATGTTCTGATGTATGTTCCAAACATATAAACTTTTCTTACTTCAAATTACAAAAATAATATAGGGTACATAATGAAATCAAAACTGAAAACTCACTTTTTCAGACCTACTCCTACTTCAGTGGGCTTCATCCCAACATTTGTATTTACCAGACTTCTGGTAATATTTCAAAACACTTTTTTTTTTTCTTCTTCTTCCCCAATTAACCTTCACCAACCATACTGAAGGATGAATAATTTTTCTGTGATTTGAATGTCTGTTTCTAAACTGAGCTTAAACATCATCCTGCTTGCTAAATTCGGGAGAAATACAACAGGATCAGAAAACACACAGCTCATGCCTTAAAAACCAGACACTACAACAACTAGCTACTGAAACTGGGTGATTTAGTTTGCGCTGTCCCTTATTTGCAGCTCACAAGGAGCATAGATGTTTGTGTAACAATGACAGACCACTCAAGGCTATCAAAAGACAGCTTTGCCGTGTTAGCTTTCCATCTAGGTTTCAGAAGGCTTCAAAGAGCAAACACAATAGAACACCCAGTCCCCTACCCATCTCAGCCATGTATTTTTACCCTGTCCTAATGAATCAGTGACCTTAGTTTTTTCTTCTGTGAAAAGAATCTTCACTTCTTTTTCTGTATGACCTGAAGTGCTCTCCTCTAAGTTCTCAAAGTCACTGTCTTCATTCTATTTCTGTCAGTCATTACAGTAAATTAGCAACTGATAAGATTGATTTCTAGTATTATCTATTACTACTATTTAACAAAGTCTTAGCTGTATGTAAGTCCTGTCAGTGTGTGTGTTACTTTTCCTTCATCTCTTTCCATGACCTTCTTATGCTGTGTCTACCTTTAGATTTTATCCTAAGTTAGATTCTGGTTGCAAAGGTAAAAATTTGCCCTTATCTCACCTTTAGCTAAAACGGGCACAGCCTTACTTAACACTCTGAGTGTTATTTTAATAGATTAAAGAAAGTAGGGTAGACCAGTTTCCCATAAGAAGATGAGGAACAGTACTCCACAAGTTGTACTTGAGATGCAACTCTTCCCTATTTTTTTAGTTTTTTGGGTTTTTTTAATTATATGATCAGAAGCAGGAGCACTACATTACAGTCATAAAGTCAGCTTCTCCACAGGACCTTCTATTGACACTAATTAAAAGATTAGAATAACTAATAAAGTTATTCAAGTAATCAATTGAAAATCACATTCAACCATCTCTTAGGAATCACAGCCATCCAATTACAATATATATATCTGCAGAAAGACAGCAGGGGAAAAAAAATAGTGTAGTGTATATACCAGAGAATTCCAGTCAATATTTAAAAGAAAAAAAAAGAAAAAAGAAAAAAGAAAAAAAGAAAGCCATATGATGGCTTGCAATTTTATAGAAAAATTCTTTTGTTTCCACACAAGGATCAGGTGGCAGTACTAAATTTTATCTAGGAAATGCAACCACAGACTGCAATGTTAGTGGTTTTTCAGAAAACAGCAACCCTCAAATTATAATGTCTGTGGTTATAAACTACTACAAACTACTTCTGAATTTAGACATGATGAAAGTCTGCAGTGGTCTACTCCTTTTCCAGACTTTGCAAGAGTATTAAAAACAAACTGATCTAATGGCAGGGATCTTCTTCCACAGTAACTTTCTTGTTGTGTGCTTCCTCACATACTGAAGATTATACAGCCTTGGTTTTTAAATGAAAAATGTATTTCTATGTCTTTATGGGATCAGTATGGTCTCCATAAACACTGGGCACATTAATGTTTCTGCTAAAAGGTGGAAAAGTAAGAAGAAAACAAAACTGGAAATATTATCTTGGGAGAAATGTAAGCAAACACTCCCATTGAAAGTTGAATGACACAGTAAAGGTGGTAGAAAATGGAGATGATGTCCTTTGAAGAGAAGCTATTCTCCAGCATTTCAAATTCTGCCTCCCCCATAGGATTCCGTAACTTATGTATAAGGTGAAACAAGTAACAAATGGACAAAGAGTGATAAACTGACACTATTTTGTATTCCCTTAACTGGCAACTCATGCAATGCTTTATCATAGATGAGAAGGGGTTTGAGGATGTATTTAAAGAAATGAAATTAATATTGCACGTCACATGGAAATCCTCACAAGTGCAAAAGCATCCTTAAAAGAAGGGCAAGCAATGTCAGTATCATGAATGTTTTATAGGAAAATTTGATCTAGTAACAAATACTATAAATAGAGTGAACAGTGATGAGAAAGATACAAAAGCAAACTCTGAAGCAGAGACAAAAAGTAGTTTATAGCCTATTTAACAAAGAAAGAGTGATGGAAAGCCCGAAGTAAAGGGCTGGAAAGTGATCATTATGGCAGTATTCTGAAAGGACAAACTATAATTGTTAGGATAGGAAAAAAAAAAAAAAAAAAGATGCATTAACTAAACTACAGGGAAAGTGGGAGCTTGGATGTACCTATCTTGTTAGATATGACCAACAATTGCATTTATAATTAGGTATGAAATGAAACCATGACACAGACCAGAGTAACAAGCAACATGGTTGGTGCTGAAGGTGACAAAAAGTGTTTGTAGAGCAGGAAAGAAGAAAGGAAAGACTAAGACTTATTGAACTTCAAATGATAGTGATGCATTCATAAGTGATATCAAAGAGATTATCAGCATTTTTAATGAAATGCTCTAGTGTGGTTCTTAAAGTGGGCGTGGATGAAAAAGTGAGTTAAGCTTCCAGATTCTGTATGAACCAAGTGGCAATCTTGCACAGAAAGCATAAAGTAATTATCTAAATATAGCAAGCCAATAGCTCCTGACGCTGCTAAAGAAGCATATCATAGAGTACCACAGAAAACTACTGCCAAACAGCTACCCATTGCTGTTGCCTCTCCACCATACAGGGATTCCCAAACTAGCCTATATTCTGACTTGCCAAAATTACCAGATTGCCTGTTACATCAGAGAGAAACAAGATAAGAGTTCTGCAACTTACAGTAGGCACAGATAATTGAAAAACAAGCTTTATCTTAATAACAGCATGATGATTTTGTAATAAAGTTGTAGGTAATATTTTAATACCATGTAGTAGATCACTTAAAGTGACAGAAGTAACAGATTTTTGCACCACCATCATGGGAACAACAGTTGAATGCATATTA